TTTTTTTTCACTGGCTGGCCCATAAATTACCCTTTGATTCAACGGGATTGGCGGTTGGAACGGGGATTCGAGGCCTAATCAAGGCTAGAGATCAAAGAGTATGCTCGCGAGGGAGACGCAGACTGCGTCGCCGATGCGGCGGTCGCCTTTTAGCGCCAGTCTCGTTGAATCAAGCGTAACTTCAGCATTGTTTGCACTTATTTACTTTCTATATAACTGTGCACCCCATTGCTCCTCTTTACAGATAGGATTATTTTATCTGATGGCTACCTCGGGTGTAACTTGCGAATACTTTGCGTGGCGTGGAATCTTCTACCTAAATGGAATCTCATCTCTGCTTTTTGGAATTCTTTGGGCACTCCTCTTCAGAGATCATCCCTCTGAGCTGAAGCAGTCTGGAGGTGTATTGGTCCAGGTTCGCAGTTAGCCGCTGTACTTTTACTGACAAAATGATAAAGATCTAGCTATGTGATGTTTTTAGGACGAGAAGGCCGAGATTGTGGCAGTAAAACGCCGTCATGAGCCAGTACCATACAAGTAAAAAAGTTCTTTCTATTCTCTATGTGCTCAAAGTTTACACTCAATTCCAGAGCCTTCTTCACATCTTTGCCTGTGTGGTCATGTCTGGTAGCAGCCTTTGGAAATTTCGGAGGGATTTCACCATTCATGACATTTGCACCTGCGATTCTGAAAAAGGCTGTCAATTTAACGGACATTGCGGCATCGCAATATAACACTTTCTCATTTATACTACAGCTATTTTTAAAAATATTCAGCGGTGAGTGGTTGCAATGCGCTAAGTTTATGGATTATGTAAGGTGAAGGAAAATCTCTTGCTTGATTATGTCATTGCTCTATCTGTAAAATGTCAAAATAACAAGAAGAACTATGTTACTGCTTGCGAGACCACAAAAAGGAGAAACAAACAAACAAACAACATCGAACATTCACGAACTCAGCCTGGAAATAATGTTGTGAATGTGCATAACTCAATTAGTTTAGGTAAAATGTCCGATTTATGGACGGCAATAAGCGAAACAAATAAAGTCCGCTTGTTCAACACTTTATCATTGGGAATAGCTGGCGTACTATGTATAACTACTGCTTTCATTCCTGTGGAAAATCAGGTAAGCCGTTCCTTGGTGAATCCAATCACAGCACAGCATTTGCTTTGCGAAGGTCGCATGTAGGCTATTTTAGTGAAGTTTTATATTGAAACAAACTCGGGTGTAAATAGTCATGAGATGTAATATAAGTAATTAAAGAAGTAAAAGTGAATAAACTAAATATTCCGCTTTATTGAGCAGTCCATTATAAAATAATGTTATGCAGATGTTGTTCTGTTGCGCTTAA